CCCCCCCCTCCATCCGTGTTGAGCCAAGTCCCCTCGTGACCTCTTTCATCCGCACTGAGCCTGAATGCAACATTATCCAGCTGATTAATTAAAATCATCCACGATCCATCAATGGAACACTGGCCTGTAATTGAGGTTTGCAGAGAGACACAAATAAGTTGGACACATGAAGCATGTTTGGTTATTACAAGCTGTTGAGAGGAATCAATGGTGGAGGAGAATACTTGTTTTTTTCATGTCAGGGCATTTAAAGCCATCCTCCTTTAGCTCTGTGGCCATGAGCCCCTGCTGCACAGAGCTACGCAGCAATAAAGCAGGGCTGTTGAGCACAATAGTAGCGAAACAAAACTAATTACAGTGACAAGTGAGGCAGGCGCCAGGTCTGTCAACAGAAGGGGAGGATGCTACATCTCCCAAAGGCAGGACCCTTAGGGACGGCTGACGGATACTCTAATTTTCTTTTCTGTGAAGAGCTCGGAGGTGGCCGCCGGACGACAAATTGTCTGTGACGCCTTGATTGAACAAATCAAGAACGTTGTGCGAATTGGCAAAATTGGCTACAGTTGACAGAAACAGTCACCTGGGCAACGCTCTGATGTCTGGCCATGGACTCACATGTGTAATTAATGAGCAGCAGCGATAATTACTCTCTAGCAGACAGAGGGATAGAGAAAACAACCGAGGGAGGGTCAAGTGGACTAATAACTCTGATTTTGAAAGCACAGCGCTGTGAATAGTAAAGAAATGCAGTGAGTCATACACTGAGTAATCTCTGCAGAGATGCTTCATTCATTCCTGTAATTAAAAGAGCAGACTTAATTAATATGTGGGTAAGCGTGCCCTAAACAAACAGTGTTGGATAATATTTTGCTTACATGAGTAGTATGGGTGTCACTTTGTTTTGAAAAGTGGTAGGGACTCATATTCATGTTGCCCCCTGTGCACTTGGATAGTAATGTTGGCGTAACATATTTTTCGGAACATTTTTAACAAATTATACTTATAAAAAGTGTTGGGCACAGAATTGGCCATTTGAGAAAGTGGTGGGGAGATGTCTCCAGCATCCCCAGTGTAAATAACAACTATGATTCCATGAAGATTCGAAACAAACTATTTGACATTTCAGATATATCTTCTCAAATTTACAACCTGACCTCTGGGAAAAGTGTATTTCCAAAAGCTCTGAGGTGAACAGCCATGGCTCAGAAACCGGTTTCCAAACATCAGACTTGACCTTTAAAATCACATAGTTGAAAGAGAAAAATGTTAAAGCTCAAATAAAGACTATACTGGAAACAGCAGTGAAGAATTTCCCCACAAGGTTTATTTAAT